ACATGTCATTCTGCCTCGACCGGCCCTATATACCTCCACGCTGTGCTCTTCCCAGCTGCACACCCACCCGATAATGGCCAGCACCAACAATGATGGGTCAGGCCAGTTGCAGCACGAGTCTGGGTTGGCTGTGCCAAGATGCCGACCTGGGTAGGCGACGCTTGCGGGCTGCAGGCAATTTCTATTTCAACTTTGCAGCGGCCACCTCCACCGGCCCGCATGTCAGCTTTTGCCGTCAGTATTCCCATTGATGGTTCGACATCGCCCGGCTCAGGGCCTCTCCTGTACTGGGTTAAATTTAGCCCTACCGGCGGCAATGATAGCATCACTACAATTTGGCAATCCACTTTGCGAGCTCGCACCCACTAGCTACAGCGTCCCCCTCGCGCTCCAATTTGTTGAATGCCTGAAGCCGGTGCCCATCTCGTCAGCGATGCGCTGGAGGGTCCACTAAGGTGCTATTCCCACTTGCTCATCATCATCTCGTTCTAATCTTTCGACGGTATGTTACTTATTTCCAACAACTCAGCATGACACAAATAAGCATAACATACATGTAGATGATTCATTGATTGGACAACATGTACGCGCGGATCACGCTCAGGCTGACGTGCCGCAGAGTCTCGTAGCGTTGCGGAGAAGACCTTGGTGATCTTCATGTCCAAGTCGTCTGTCTGTAGTAATTTGACGGTCGTCAAGGACAATAACTGCCATGTAGTATGTCATTTCTTTGTGCTCAAATATGTAAACTTACAAGGGTTTGCACAGTCAGACCAGCTCGTTAGTGGCAGCACCGGTAAGCCGAAGGCAATCGCGACGTCTGGGGCCCGGGACACCGTATCGCGTAGATCAACAATTCGACCCGGGATGTGAGTGTAGCTGCGCCTGCACTTACTTGCAGCCCATGACTGGCGGCAAAGCTCCCATCAGGCCCCCCTCCCATGCGTATCGTGGCGACCAATGTTCCCGCTGACGACGGTGCACCACATGTCAGATCTGCGCCCATCGGTCATTCCATCAAGATTAGCCAGGTGCTCAAGCAGCCCGTGCCGCCGGGCAGAGTTGCCAGGCTGATCATTGATGGTGAAGGCGACACCGAAGGATATCTCAGCTGCCCTGCGGAGACCGCGGACTCGTTCGTCGAGTGCGCTGCAGTTTGACGGTTCGCCTGGAGACAACACATGGCGTTACTGAACGGTGAGCAGTGTCAGCTGTTACAGACTCGTCGCACGGGCTGACATGCGCTTGCACTCGTGCAAGGCGTTGCTGAGCAGCGGAAGTTGGAGCTCATGGATGCCGGTGGCGGCGACCTGTGCCTTGTCATATACGTTACCCTCATGTGAGCAACCAAGATACATCGACTACAGTGTCAAACAATGAATCTGCAATTATGGCATCCGGAGAACCCATTCCAGGGCCCCGAGAAGGCCTTATCACGTCCAAAGCTTTGATCTGCTGCCTCAGAAGGCCGTGGGGCGCACTGAGTGTATCAACCGCGCTGCAGTTGCGCTTGTCTGCTCACATGCAGTTGCGCCTGTCCACTCACATGCAGTTGCGCTTGTCCGCTCACATCCGTTCTGACTTGCGCCGTGACAGCCTATCTCGACCCGGCACGGTTCACGCATCTGTGCCGAGCACGGCAGCGATCAAATGCGCGCTGTATGTGCTGACGCTTCTGCGCTACAGGTCGTGCACCACGGCTGTACGCTACTCATGTTCCCGGACTCTTTCTCTCCCAGTGCGAACGCCGAATGGAAGACTCACCGGCTTGGTGAGCTTTTGTAGTATGCGGGCTACTCCTGGGGAGACGTGAGTCTGGGGTGACTGTAAGGAGCCGTGTAAGGAGTCTTTCAGGCCGTGAATGTTGTCTCTGTTCGCTGCATGCACAGCATAGGTTGTCTCTGTTCGCCATTCGCCATTGTGTTTCATTGTGTTTTATTGTTTGCTACGGCTGAGGAAAAGCGAAGATCAAACTGATACCTAGTTTATTCTGGATTTATCTGGCTTTGAAAATTCAGGCCAGAGCTCAAGATTGTCACTTCCATTTTTCTACGTTTGTTGACCTGGGAAAAAGGAGTCCAAAATTCCGGTAACATTTGTGGTTTAACTCCGAATTGTACACTAAATTGTCCGGCGGTTTAACATCCGAAGAGTCGCTTTTAGTTTTTCTGCAAAGAAAATCTGACATAAGATAGCCTATTTAGGCTACATTTTGAGTGAAATTATTTGCGGTAACAACTCATGTTTTTTCAGCGTTGACAAGCAAGGATAAAAGACAACAATGTCTACACCAAAAATGAAAGGAAAAATTATGCCACGACCTCCAAGTTTTATCTTGGTCATCCAGGGCAGAAAACTGAGGAAAAGTCTTCAAGTTTTGTCTTGTCTTTCATTTTTGAAGATTGTGGGAAGATGGGTTCTTGTTTCATCAGTTTCAAACCAATTTTCCCACCAAAAAAAATGCCCTTACCACTCAGTGTTGTAAAAGATCCATCCACTTGCAACTTGTTCAGCAAGCTTTACTGGTCAACGACAGCTTGTATGCAGCTAAGCGGAATGACTGTGCTGTCATTTATATGTGTATATAAACTCACTACATTATCTCCACCAAGTTTATTTTGCTGAAACAGCTAGATCAACACCTGATTTTGCAGTTGTGTGCAAACAGTTCATGCCCGATTGTGCCACTGTGCACAATCGGGTATAAATACTGTACCTACCCAATGTAGATTGAATGTCTCAAGCATGCAAAGAGCTCATGCCTGATTGTGCCACTGTGCACAATCGGGTATATCAGTGTTAATGTTCCTGTGTTATTTATCATCCAGCTTCATTACCTTTTCTTACTTCCAAGTTGTGCATGCCATAAGGCATCCTCTAACCCAGAAAGGACCCCTGTTAGAGGG